GAGAGAGAGAGAGAGAGAGAGAGAGAGAGAGAGAGAGAGAGAGAGAGAGAGAGAGAGAGAGAGAGAAGTGCACGTGCCTCTCTCTCTGCAAATGGCAGAAGCGGACTGGAGCTGCAGTAGAAGGCTGAAAGAGCCGCATGCGGCTCCGGAGCCACAGGTTCACGACCCGTGCACTAGACCAAACAGGATCTTACTCTCATCTCAGTATCGAAGCCACTTTTGGGGTGCCTCAGATTGTTGACCCCTGGTGACTGCCTGGACAAAATCTCCCTGCACTTTTCTTGGCAAGGATTCAGGAGTGGCTTTGCCATTGCCTGCTTCCTAGGGCTGAGTGAGAGTGACTGGTCCAAGATCACCCAGCTGGCTTTGTGCCTAAGGCAGGATTAGAACTCAGGGCTTCTAGTTTGATTTCTTAACCACTACACTAGATTGGCTTCTTACCGTTACTCAATAAAAGGCAGAGTGGCTTAAAGGAAGAAAGAAAAAGAGTGCTATTTGGCATCTTGTCCAGTCTGACAATACAGATACTCCTCAACTTACAACAGTTCATTTAGTGACCCGCTCAAAGTTAGTATTGAAAAAAGTGACTTATGACCGTTTTTCAAACTTATAACCATTGCAGCATCCCCATGGTCACATGATCAAAATTGAGATGCTTGGCAACTGGTTCATATTTAAGATGGTTGCAACGTCCCAGGGCCCTATGATCACCTCTTGAGATCTTCTGACAAGCAAAGTCAGAAGCAGTACTAGGATTTGTCAAAAAAAAAAAAAAAAACAGCCTATGAGGCTGTAAAGCTCATATTAGGTCTAATTCTTGCTGAAGCCCTGCTAGGGTTTGTTGAATTATGACAACTATGTGTTATTTAAAAGGAAACAAAAAAGAGGGGGATGGAAAGAAAAGAAAGACGGGAAAGATTACAGAATATACCAAATTATGCACACCTGCACAATCATTTATTGCAACTAATAGTACACAAAAAAGTATGATACAGAAATGGTATGGAGAGCTGTGGCAGACATATAAAAAAAAACATGATTTACAGATTTAGCTGTAACGTATCTTTAATATTGATACACCTGAACACATGATGCTAAAGCCTATAAGGCTCCTAGGACACCTCATTTTTTTTTATCCAGACAAATAATAATGATGGTCAAGTTATTCCTTTATAGACTGATTGACCCATTCCTTTCATTTACAAGGCCACCTAACTACAAGAAAATCAGGGTGGCATATAACACTAAAGTAAAGTGTACGTTAGTAGCAAAAAACTAAGGAAAGTCTGCTTTAAAGCCTTTCAGAGATCAACACTTGGCAAATAGGGATTTTTCCAAAATTGTGCCTATGGATGGCCCTTCTTTTGGGGGAGTGTCATGAAAGCGCCATCACACAAATAGAAAGAGGGCAGAAGGATCTCTCCAACCAAGGAAGCATCCAAGAATATATAGAGCAGAGCTGCGGTCCTGGCATCAAAAAAGCTCACTTGTCCCACTTCGCAGTTGATAGAGATGCAGATCCTTGTGGGCTTCTCAGTCAGGACAAATTCAGAGTATACTGACGGAGAGAGAGCCATGTATTTCCCTCCCCATTTCCCAATCTGCCAGTGCCTGGTCTGCAAATCAACATTTGTTACGTTCCCTGGCTTGTTGGCAACCCCTACACCCCATCCTGCTGCATCTCCTACAGCAACTGTCCAAAAATGTCTCCCTGTTGAGAATCTCTGACAGCCAAGGACATAAGGATTAAATACAAATCTCTTCCAGTTTGAATAATATATTCTTTTAGCTTTCTTAACTCCTCTGACGCTTTTTCGATCTTTGGAGATGTCAAGGTAGTCAGGATTGGCTGTGTCTGGATCCAGAATTACATTTACTGTAAGGGGGAAGAGAAGGAAGGAAGGAAGGAAGGAGAAAAACAAGAGCTTCAGCTGCAGGCCTAGTTTGTGTCTTCACCCCCAAATGTTTAACCCTACAGCTTCTTGTGTGAATGGAATTCAGTTTCTAAACACCCCCTTCAGGACTGGAAGACTCATTGGTGTTTTTTTTAAACAATACCTAAGCATTGCTTGGTCCAGGCTTCTCCAACTTTGGCAACCATAACACTTATGGACTTCAACTCCCAGAATTCCCCTGATGGGACTGTTAGTGTCCAGGTCCCCTCTGCAACTTTTTCCCCAAGCACCTGGGCTCTCCCACTGTCTTAGTTCCATCCTCTGTTAACTGCCGGCCTGTTCAGCATCCCTCTGGCCTCTCACCTTCTCGTCCCACTTACTTAGACTGCCTTTGCCACCTGCCGCTCCAACTGCCTCCCCTCCAGCTGCCACTCAGTTGGACGCCCTCAGGATCCATCAATTAGCTGTCCTGCTCTTGGCCACATTACTGAGCTGATTGCCCTCCAGCTCCGCCATGTTGGCTGGAGAATTCTGGGAACTAAAGTCCAAAAGTCTTACAGTTGCCAAGGTTGAAGACACCTGGCCAAGTCCTTCCACACTTCATAGTACTTCACCTTTTCCAGCAGCCCTGCACATCAGTCTCTTTAGCTTTCATCTTGCAGATGAGAGTAATGGAGTTGGGAATGAAGAGTGGTTGGCTTTGCCTTCGGTGAGTTCCTGATAGGGCCAAGAATTCTATGTTTCTTTCAGTACTGGCCCATATATTTTCCCCCTTTCTCCAGATATTTCATTCTACACCAAGATTGACTTCAATTTTCTAGATTACGAATGAG